ACCGACTTAGCTCGACGGTGCAGTAAGCTGAAGTGGCAATGGGTCGACCATGAAAGGATCTACAAGTGGAAGAAAGGTTCTTAAGCGGTAACCTCGAACCGATAATCGAAGTGTAGGACAGTCTCCACTAAATGAAGCGATGATCTTTTAAGACACGCAAGTAGTTCAGGGATGCAGGTGGCACAGGACTGTGCCAGTCTCAACGGAAACTAGCCGAAGCTACGCAAACACAGGTACATTCTTATTTCCCCCTTCTGATTCGACATACTACTTCGACACACTTCCACTAGAATTGTAAAAATGTCGTCCAGGCCCAAATTTCGGTAATTGCGGCCAATGTCCATGGAGACTAACCATCTGGCAGGACAGAATTCGAGTGTCCGAGTGTGTAAGCACAGATGCTCTTACTATTCCTTCACTCTTATTATCCGATGGTTTTGGGTCAAATTTCTCATCGGACCCATAGCCAACGGGCTTTACGTACTTTCCGAGATACGGGGTTGAAGCACCGCAAACTTCCTGACTTCTGGCTGCTACCAAGAATGGCTAAACTGAAAACATGATGATTACCAGTCGCACTTTCAACCACTAGACCGACGGTACAGTTATAATAATGAATACTAACTGGTGAAACTCCTCATCTACCTAACAATAAAGTCTGGAGAGATACCAACCTCTACCTACTACCGCTACTAAATAGTCTGTTGCACTGGTGTGCCTGCTTGCACTACAGTATACTGAAGGCATTACCGTGTGTCTGAAGTCTATAGAAAGCCAGTATAATAACATGTAATGTATTCCATCTTAGTCTTCAGAGGTGACTTCTTTTTGAATCTTCTTTGTGTGAAGTTGGCTGCGTGTTTTCATAGACTAAATTTGGCATTACAATATCAAAAATTAAGTTTTCATTACGGCTGGGAAAGCCATGGTGAAGTTTACAGACATTATTCCTCTGAAATGTATGCAAGCTCTGAATTTCGAGAAATTCCTTTACATATGTAGAATGGATGTAGACGAAATTTACTCAATTCTAGAAAACAAAACGCAAATACTAAGGCAATATAAAGTTTTCTATTTCTTGTATATTATATTCTCGAATAGTTTTATTGCATTAGTTCTAGACTTTGTAGTTACAATGTTGGCAACTCTGTGACTTACTGATTTCTTGATCGCTGAGACGCTGGTTCGGGTACGGATCCCGGGTAGTAATAACAATATTTTTATGGGATACGGGTGACAAACTATTACACAGTTCACGTAATGGTAAGTGAATAATGTAGGCCACAGACATCTACATTTATCATTGATCAAAATCCATAAAATTCGCATGCGTCCATCAAATCCCGAGCGGTCGCATTCGACCGCACCCACCCACAGCACTTTAAACTATTAGAAATTATATTTAGAGACTACTTTTCTATGAACAAATTTTGCATTATAAAATCTATACAAAATTCTCTATCCTGTGGTCTAAACAAATGTCAGGTTTTACTTCATTACAAAAAGATTTTATTGTATTTGGATAACAAAATAAAACATATCAGGCGGATGTCGGCAGCGTGAAAATTACAATTATTTCTATATATTACTCGAAATTATTTACGTAAAAAGATAATTTATATTCACAAAAAACTTTCATTGTAATTTTATAATAAAACACTATACTAAAACACTAGAAAAATCCAAAAATCAACACAATAACATTAGAAAAGAATGGAATAGAATCGAATAGAATATATATTTATTTTCTCATCACAAACGGTTACAGAATTATTGACGACAAACATGTTAAACTATAAACATATTGAACCCTAGTTTGAGAGAGTCTGGTGCCTACTACTTTTAGGAATATCCGTATTTTATTAATAATTAATTTCTTATTTAATTAATATGGAATAAAACTAATATTACAGAAAGAAACAAAGGTCTTTACATTTTACTAACAAATTAACTTCCCCGGTATGAGATCGGTCAAATCATCATCATTACAGCCCTTCACAAGTCCATTGCTGAACATAGACCACCCCCAAATAATGCCACAAAGCACGGTCCTGAGCCACCTGCATCGATCGACTTCCTGCATATCTTACCAGGTCGTCACTTCATCTAGTGGGGGTCGCCCTACACTACGGCTGCCAGTACGAGGCTGCCACTCGAGAACCTATCCTCCCCATCGCTCGGTTCTTCGAGCTATATGGCCGGCCCATTGCCACTTCAGCTTACTAATCCATTGGGCTATGTCGATCACTCTGGTTTTACTGCGGATATCCTCATTTCTGAGTCTATCACGCAGAGAAACTCCGAGCATAGCCCTCTCCATAGCTCGCTGAGCGACCTTAGCGTTCTCATACGGCCATAAGTGAAGGAACACGTCTCAGATCCGTAAGTCATCACTGGCAACACGCACTGGTTGTACAATCTAGTTTTTAGAGATAGAGGTACACCTGACGAGAAGATGTGTCGTAATTTCCCGAACGCTGTCCAGCCGAGTTGAATCCGTCGATTGACCTCTCGGTCGAAGTTGGACTTACCTAGTCGGATTATTTGTCCCAGGTAAACGTACTCGTCAACAACTTCGAGCATAGTAATCCCAACAACTACCGGCATAGGTGTGACATGGACATTAAACATGATCTTTCTTTTGTCCATGTTCATCTTAAAACCTATCCGTTGGGAGGCACTATTGAGGTCATTGAGCATAGTGCTTAAGTCCTCCAGCGATTCTGCCATAAGGACTACATCGTCGGCAAATCTAAGGTGAGTAATGTACTCGCCATTGATGTTAATACCGTATCCTTTCTAGTCCAGTAGATTGAAAACGTCTTCCAATGCAGCGGTGAAGAGTTTCTGGGATATAACGTCACTCTGTCTTACACCTCTCTGCAGTTGGATAGGTTTGGAGCTCTGGTTCTGTACTCAGATAACCATCGTAGCCCTACTGTACAAACACTTCAGCACTTCGATATACCGACAGTCAACTTGGCACCGCTGAAGGGACTGTAGCACCGCCCAAATTTCGACGGAATCAAAGGCTTTCTCATAGTCCACATACGCCAGGTAAAGTGGCAGATTATGCTCTTCCGTCTTCTGTACAATCTGCCGCAGGGTATGTATGTGGTCTACGGTACTGAAGCCTTTTCGGAAACCGGCTTGTTCGGGAGGCTGGAAGTCGTCGAGTCTGCGTGCGAGACGATTCGTAATGACTCTCGAAAACAGCACGTAGACGCGGCTCAGAAGGGAAATCGGTCTGTAGTTCTTCAAGAGAGCGTTGTCGCCTTTCTTAAAGAACAAGACCACCGCACTTTTGCTCCATGCCTCTGGAGTAGTGCCACCATGGAGGACGGAATTGAAGAGCTTCTGAAGGACTTCAAGTACCGATGTTCCACCCGCTTTCAGAAGCTCCGCTGTAATTCCATCCTCGACTGGGGCCCTGCCGTTTTTAAGGTGCTGGAGAGCCATTCTAATCTCGCTTAGAATGACGTCCGGGATATCATCGGAATAGTGTCGGATAAGACTTGGTCTTGGATCGTTACTCACACTTGCGTGTGGCTCCAACGATGATGTGTACAGCTGCTCAATCTCACTTAAAATCTCAGGTGTCCCGGAAACGATGCTGCCACATTCAGTCTTTAGCTTTGACAGTTGGCTTTCTTACTGGTAGACAGATCTCTGGCAAAGACTTTGGAGCCCCGGTTCCTCTCGATCGCTTCTTTAATACGAGCAGTATTAAAGTTGCGTAAGTCTCGCCGCATGCATTTGGAGATCTGTCTGTTCAGTTTCCTGTATGCTGTCAAATCTGTTGACGATTGCAGCCTCATCTCCTGTCTAACAGCCATGAGATTAAGAGTGTGATCGGAGAGTTTTTTTGTTCTTCTGTGGCGGATCTTGCAGACCTTAGCTCCGACCGCATGGACAGCTTCCACGAGCTTGTCATTCATATCATCCACTGCATTGCAATCTTGTTGGCACTGAAAGCGGTTACGTAATTCGAGCTGAAAGTTTTCGGGATTCTGGATTAGAGCACGAGGGGGACGGAGCGTTGACTTCATTAGACGTGACCTCTCCAACTTAACGTTTAGGTTCAGAGTGCCTCTAATCATTCGGTGATCGCTGCCAGTTTTCACCCTTGCGATCACTGAGACATCACTGAACAGTCAAATATTTAACCTCATTCCAAAGATGCGCCGCGCTGGTGGCAAAAAAGTTGTGGCTGCTCTCATTGACGGCTTCGTAGCGCAGCGGCTTAGTAATGAGTTGCAGCGCTGAGGGCTACGGGCTTGCATCCTGCATGGGACTAATATTTGTATGGCCTACAAAGGTTTATTCCTTGTCTGGATGTTTGTCCTAATGTAATGTATTTATATATTATATATTATAGGAAGTCGTCATAAATCTCCTAAACTTGGTTAAGTTCAATATCTGACATTGAATTGCATTTACATAATGACACTAAGGGCCGCGGGTTTGAATCCCGCACGAAATAAGTATTCTATATGGCATCCAAATAATTGTTTCATGTCTAGATTTATGTCCTTGTGTAATTTATATATGTCAAAATCCATCACGGTACAGAAATAATCCTAGTATATAATACTAGGTAGTACTGTTTTTTGTGTTTACTTAAAGGTGTTAAGTTAATTACTGGCTATTTTTCTCAATTGTACTATAAGATACTAACACTTTTGTAACACTCTTGTTTTTCTATTCGTTATGTTTAACCCCTTCGGACCTGAATTTATATAAAGCATCAATAAAAATATTGTTAAGGTTTTTCTGTGAGTTAGAAGTGTAATTAAGGGATTTTTGTAAAAATATGCGATTTATCGTTTTCAGATTTTTGGAAATTTTGATGTCCACTCAAGTGGACATCAGGTTTAGTGTTGTATTAATACATATTTAATGAATAAATGTTTTGTAGTAATATTTTTAAGTAAGTCAGTAAAACTATGTAATATTATTATAATAGTTTATTTTTTATTTAACATTTTACACTGTTAGGATTATTCTTGTTTTTGATGAAATTTTCGAAAGCAATTTCGCTCACCAGTAAAACACAGATGTATTTCACATTTCAGACAGTAAACATGCGTCTTTCCTTTACATCCTGGATTTTTACATCTTGTAGCTTCTTTCTTTTGATCATATTCTGGCAAATGGTCGACAGTGTCATACTGGATTTCGCTAGCTGGTCTTATTTCAATCCTGTAACGGTGTTGTTTTGGTGTAACTGGTGAATTTACTGGACTGCTACCACCAGATGCGGGCCGTCCTCTTTTTCTGTTAGGAATTGGATGCCCCATTTTTATTAGAGCTTCTGCAACGCGCTGCCGAAAGTGCAACAAATCGAAAACGTCTGTACTTGGTATATTACATATTTTGCAATCTTCTTGGTATTCCAGCCAGCTATTGGTTAGTGCTAGGTCAATGGCGTGAAATATCATACGCAATGTCCATTTTTTGGATCTAATGAAGATTCGATACAAACTAATCAGATGATCAGTTTTATCTCCACCGCGCATACCATTGTTATATAATTGCATAAGGTCAGGACGCGGTATAGTTTTAGATATTTTATTCCATCGTCGAACTTCATCTTGATTTCCTATTTCAACAAAATTTGAAGCAAGTACTACACCTTTGTTGTCAATCTACTTGATAACAACCACATCTTTAGTATTATTCGTAACTTGATCAGTATATCCCCTATCTTTTTTTGATCCTTCCTTGTCAATTATGAGTGGCGGTTTTCAAAAACGATTTATTCTGATCGTTCCTCCTGCATAAATTTCCCTCTCGCGAAGATCTTTCAGCAAAACGTAATTGGAGAAATAATTATCAAAGAAGAGGTAATGACCAGACCTATTTATTCTCTTTGACAAGGCATTTACATAAGCAGCAGATGTGCCATATTTCAAAACGTCATTTTTGTCTAGATTTGTAGTTGCGCCTTGATAAATAATAAAATCATAAGCTAATCCACTCTTAACGCGAATCGTAAATATCTTTACACCCCATGGCTGTGGTTTTCCTTCGACATATTGTTTGACTTCAAGTTTTCCTCGAAATGGTACAATCTGTTCATCAACGCTCAATATTTGCTCTAATTTTAGTTCTAGACATCGTTTTCTAACTGAATCATATAAAGGCCGAACTTTGATAAAACGATCGGTGTTATTTTGTGAAATAGAATTGTTATTAATTACATGCAAATTGTTTCTCATCTGAAGAAATCTATCTCTGGCCATGTTCTCTAAAAATATTTTCATATCTAAACTGGAATCCCAATACAAACGAATACGAGGAAACTTTAGGTTACCCATTATGATATGAAGGCCGAAAAATATTTTCATTTCTGTTGAAGTACATGGCTTGAAATTACGGACTTCATTTCTCACCACATACAAATTTGTATTGAATGTAAAATCGTCAATTAGAGACTCTGATATATATTTAGAAAAATAATGAATGGGAACGCGAGGTGAATCAATTTCAGATGGTGGTGGCGCTGACCAAATGAATTGTGGTGGTTCAAGCTGTAAATGTTTTCTCCAAATTATTTCATTTTTAGGCTTACTACTTGATCCGGGTCTAGATTCTACCTCCTCTAAGTCTTCTTCCTCTACTATATCGTCCTCCTCTTCAGAGTGATTACCTATCTCTCTTTCGGTTGGTAGCGTTATGTTACTACCTACACGAACATTTTTTGTGGTATTGCCTGTACAATTTCATCGTCACTCTCTTCTTCGAGATCCGATATTGTTCCGTTTTCTAATAAATTGAGTAAATTATCCACATCTTGACTTTTAGATAGATCAAAACCTAAAAAGGAATAAAAACAACATGTAAAATTCAATACAAAATTTTATTGTAAATACGTTTGGTTTACAACGATTGTGACCCCCATGTCCATTGAAATAGAATCGACTTTATCTTCAAAATTATGAAAACAACCGCATATTTAGTATTTTTTAAAAATGTATATCTTAGCTAATATGATCACTATGCAGAATAAAAAATATCTAAACAATCGATCAAATCGTTTTGGAGTAAATAAAATAACACTAAAGACTTACTCGCATTGCGCGTATCCATGGCGAACGTCAACACTTGACGAATTATTTCATCCTACCTACAATAAATCCTTTGCTGTTTTGTTTATCGTAACGTTTCTAGGTAAGTGGTCGGTACAATCAAATGTTTACACTAGCGTTTTTATTAATCTACCTCATATTTCATGCAATAATAAAACTTGTCCATTGAAATGGACGCTGGGACTAAAGGGGTTAAATTGTCTCCCTCTTTGATTGCTATGATTAGTTCTGTACGTAACCTTAAAACTTCTTCTTTTAACTCTTGTATCATTAAGCAGTCTCTTAAGTCGTCGTATGGCGTTATGGCTCTTAAAACTGCGAGAGGTTTTTTTTGTAAATTTAATTAATGGGAGTTGGGAGTCGTTGACATAAATGAGCCTGATAAATCTGGAAGTGATTCTGGTAGTTTTTTTATTTTTCTGACAAATTCTGCGTAATCCTCATGCACGTCTTGTGCATTAAAAGAGATAGTTGTTGATATTTATATTTTGTTGGTCTAAATTTGGTTTTTTAGATATTTACAAAAATCGCATATGCATTTTTTCTTTTTTCGATATCTAATAAAAAGAAAAACTTTTCTCCAATTTGTATATACATATTATGTTATTTACTATATTTTTTTATTTCTTCTTTACATTTAAAACAATTTTTCGACATTTTGAAGTCTTTCCGTTCTCTTGTAAAATCAATTAAAATAATTTTTGTTTTTGAGTTGTAGCCATCTATTGTGTTATAGCTGTACTAATATTATACTTATCCAACAAAGCATGCGATTTATCATCGATGGTCTATCAATCGTTAGATTAGTTTTAGTTCATTGCTTTTCCGGTAGATGGCGATTTACAACGCCATCTAGTTCACTCTGAGAAGATAGAATAGAATCAGCTGATTGGTCAGCTGACCTGTGTTTACAAATTTAAACAGCTAACGTTTCACCAGTTGTGAAAAAATATCAAATTCAATATTTTATGGATTAGTCTTTCACTTACGTTATGGGTTTTAGAAATACTACGGAGAGGACAATTATTAATTTACCTGCACTTGATTAGGTACTTCGTATTTTTATTACGGTGTTATCTGCCTTATCAATACTGTTTGGTTTTCACACCATATACACTAGTTTTCACTGGGATAACATTTTCATCGCTCTATTGTATCTATTTTAATATGGAACGCACTAATTTACTGTATTTCGATCACTATTTTTTTAATTTTATTAAATTTAATACGGAGCTCGATGTTCACTGTGAAAACTAGCGCCATCTATATATCGTTAAAACAAAACCCTATTAACATTTCTATCATCTTATTCTAATACAGAATCTAGTAAAACATTAACAAGTTGTAAACTTACAAGTTGCAAAAATAGGCAAAAATATAATTCCATTAATTTCTTAATATTTTAGATATTTTCAAGCAACGGTTCGTACGGTTTTTCTGTCAATAACACAGAACACTATTACTTCTATCGGAGAATAACGACAACTTCATACAAAATGTGATATATACGCACTAGCTCCATCTATCGTCAGCCTACCTGCACTTCTCGTGTGGCGGGAAAATTTGAAAGTGGTCTTTTTTGGTTTTTTATTTGAGGTATTTCTGGGTTGCCTATCCCAGCGCTAAATAAAAGAACAAAAATTACAAAATTTCTATTTATTTTTTCAAAATTAAAATACAAATTAAAATTAAAAAAAAAACATACATAACTTAAGACAAAATTTCTCCAGCAGCTTAATTCTTTCTATAAAGACATTTGATGGGTTTAAACATGAAAAGAAAATCAATATTGATTACAATATTTCGATTACTTATGTAAACAATGATAAACATAATATATAAGATTTACAATCATGGATGAATTGATAATATGCACAATCACAAATCACAGAATGCCTACACTAACCAAAATATCAATATTTTAATCAAAATGAAGTTAATTATTAAATCACCTCACAATGATAAACATAATATATAAGATTAACAATCATGGATGAATTGATAATATGCACAATTACAAATCACAGAATGTCCGCAATAACCAAAATATCAATATTTTAATTAAAAAAAAAACAAGTTAATTAATAAATAAGCTCCTACACACAAGTGCAACGTGCAACATCCGTAAATAATTATTTTGTTTTGATAATATTTGTTTGTCTATTTCCCTGAATTGACACTAAAAATTTTGTCTCTATAATATGTGCAATATATTGTGTATTGAATGCAACTTATAAATAGAATAATTTTAATTCAAAACTATAAAACATATTAAATATTAGATTACAAAAATATTCCTTAAGTAATTTCAAACTTTTTTATATAGGGTATTTTCTTTTTCAGGTTCAACATTATCTGACATGCTTTGATGTTTGTGATTGTTCTTCAGTGGATATAATGTTGTCCTTTCTGAAGATCCTGCTTGTGGTTTTGCGGCAATAATTTGCGAGGGACCAGCTTGTGATTCCACAAAATAAAATGGGAATACAGTTTGTTAGTCTGGAAATAAATAAAAACTGAAATAAATTATAGTATAATAAAAATATTATATAAATTTAAATTAGCATTATATTCACTGACATTACTTTCATGGTAAACCAGTCCCTACTCATTGGACTCATGACATTACTCTTCTACCATACAAAATAAATGGATCTTGTTCATCCAACTTGCTCTATAATACACACACTATTACACCTAATATAACAAAATAAGATACTAAATACAATAACTATGTGAAAAAAGAGAAGTCTTGTGTTTATCTATTGTTTGAGAACCATTTGATGCTTGTATTTCTACTGTGTTATACAAGTTGTGCTGTTGTTTTAAATTTGATAGGTTTAGGACGAAATGTAATTATTCATAGAATGTGATGCCTGAACTTTCTTAAGGTTTTAAAAAATATTTGATTGTTAAAAATAATATGCACAGTGTGTTGCACTTTTAATAATGTAAGTAAGGGCTTGTGCTAACTTTATAGACTTCAATCCTTTGTTTGCCTTGTCCTATCCTTTTATTATCAATTGGTTGAAAGCATTAACAGAATTCAAATTACTGTATGTGTTCTGTCCATCCATGTTAGATCCAGATGATGGACATCTGAATAATCATCATCATCATCATTACAGTCTATCAAAATCCACTCCTGAATATAGGAATCCCCTTATAAAATATCTGAGTAATCCTTAAAGAAAACTATATACATACCATGTTACCATATACATTATACATTTAACTTACATCACATGGGACTGCAGTTCTTAAGAGCTTTTTCTTGGTTGCATCATAAAATTAACCATCATGAAAATGTTTTTCACACAGCATTCTGGGCTCGTTATGTAGCTTTGTCTGGAAAGCTAAAGTGAAGGTATTATCGAATTAATGTCAATTAAAATTATGAATTCATGTGCCAAACCACCGAAGTTGTATGGGTTACCAAAAATACACAAACCGAATGCTCCATTACGTCCAATAGTGAGTCACATTGATTCGCTAACTTACAGATTGGCTCAATACTTAGCTAAAATATTATCACCACTCAGAGGACACACAAGAGCACACACTAAGGATTCATACCATTTTGTCAGTGAGATAAAAGACCTAAATCTTACTGACAATGAAACCATAGTCAGTTTTGATGTTCAGTCTCTATTTACATGCCTACCTGTTGAAGACTGCATCTCAATTATAACTAGGAAACTAGAGGAAAATAACATGCCAGCAGAATATGCAGTATTACTAAGACATTGCCTTACATCTGGCTATCTATTGTGGAAGGAAGAGTTTTACAAGCAAGTAGATGGTGTTGCGATGGGCTCACCTGTATCTCCCAATGTCGCCGATATATTCATGGAAGACTTTGAGGAGAAAGCCCTCCTTACTGCACCTGTCACCCCAAGGTTCTACAAGCGGTACGTAGACGATACTTTCACAATTTTACCATCAGACAAAGTAACTGCATTTTTAGAACATCTTAATTCTATAAACGCTAAAATTCAATTTACTATGGAGTTCGAGGCAAATAATTCCTTAGCTTTCCTAGATGTGTTAGTCATCCGAAATCCTAACAACACCATAGGTCATACTGTGTATAGAAAAAAGACCCATACAAACCGATACTTAAATGGTGAATCTCACCATCATCCTTCACAGTTAGCTACCGTGGGCAAATCTTTGTTACAGAGAGCACGAGGGATCTGTGCCAACAAATACCTGGCCGCCGAACTTCAGCACGTCAAACAAGTTCTGCACGACAACAAGCTTCGGGTCCCGCGCCTACGTCACAGTGACCGAGTGAAGCCGGCCACAGTCGAGCGTGTGCCTGCTGTACTACCATATGTCAGAGGTGTCACAGACAAGATTGGCTATATCTTGAAGCGAGCTTCTATTAGAACATTCTACAAGCCGCCGAAGAAGATAAGTCAGTTCCTACCATCCGTCAAGTGTCATATTCCTCTACAAGATGCAGGAGTGTACAAGCTTGATTGTGAATGTGGTCTCTCTTATATAGGACAAACAAAAAGATCAATTAGAACCCGCGTAAAAGAACATATAGCTGATGTGAAGCATCAACGTTCCGGGAAGTCTGCAGTTTGTGATCATATCCTGGACGGCCCCAACCATTACATCAGATTTGATAGACCACAAATCCTGGCGAAAGAACACCGATTCCTACCGAGGATGATACGTGAGGCTATTGAAATTAAAAAACATCCTAATTTCAATAGAGAAGGAGGCTGGGTACTACCACCTGCTTGGGATCCTATAATCAATAAAATTAAAACTAAACCCAAGCATACCACTGCAAGACCTCAAGACATAGTCAGTTCATTTTGCATAGATCGGACCATGAACAATAATTAAAAAAGCTGAAGGTACTCCGGGTTTAACAATGACATCGGGACGTCAGTCATCTCAGTCCCCCGTAACCATGGGTGCTGGAAAGCGCCCGAAACGTCGAGAATTAAAAATAAAAGTAATTAAAAGCAAAAATTAACGCGATAAAATTCGTAAAAGTAGTTTTAATCATGTGTAGTGTTCGCGTAAATATAAGAAATCATTATGAAAACCAATATTTCCTTTTCAATTTAGCTTTGTTATACTCTTTAAGAGTTTTTTTAACAGTTTTACCTATAAATAAATTTTAACCTTACATCGACTCACACTTTCATACAGCGCATATGAAATTCAAATTTAGAGGTCAAATTTGTATTTCAAATCTGCCCGGATTACGGGTACGTCACCACAGCGTCAGACTTCTTATTTGGGATTCAAATGTCCCCGCCGGTAGGTTGTACATTACCGTCAAATATATTTTAGTTTGTAAGTCAATTCGTAAAGTTAAAAATACACAGTCTGCACCAACTTTGACCACGCAGGGTCACCGAGCACCCCCCGAACGGGTTCCCGCCTTGTCGTGGCGGGGGGGCTTAGTAGCCGTGGCTTGGTCTCCCACGGTGAACAAAGAGGAACCCACGTGGCTGGCCCGAGGTGAAGGGCCGGCCTGAGGTGGCCACTCCGAGTGGGCTTGGGGAGCCCACTTTGGATGTGTGCTGGTGGACTGCAGCGAGTGGGGACTCGCGCACCCTCTACCGCTGCAGCCGAAGTGGAGTCGCGGAGGAAGAGGAGTGTTGGTATGGCGATGCGCCACTCGCCCTATCCTTCGCGACTCAAACGGGGCCGCACCGTTGATGCGGTGGTGGTCGGGCTGCGGGGGGAGAGGATTGTCGGTATTGCGAGGCGCCGCTCTCCCTACCCTCCGCAGCCGAATCTTGGTTGGCGGCGGAGCCATAGACCAGATCCACCGCTGGGGTCGGGAAGGCTAGTACCTCTAAGTGCTCGTTTTTCCTGGCCCCATGGCCTTTGTGCATCGGACGCGGGGGCGTCTGTTGCACAGACGTAATTGGAGGCCGTGGAGGAAGGCGCGCCATGTGTTCTGGTGCGCCTTACCTGGGAAGGAGAACGGGGAGGAATTTTCCTCTCCCGGGGAGGTGCTGCCATGGGGCGGCAGGCGCTAGTAGGGCCGCGGATGTGTGCGAAAGCGTTCCCGTAGTCCTGCCAATATGCGACAAAGGTGGAACACCATGGGGTTTTAGTCGGTGCGAGTCCGACATAACCCGTCCTTGCCCCCCCGCGAGGCGGGTATGCGTAGGCATTTCACCATGTAAAAAAAAAAGGGTCACCGAGCAAAAAACATGTAGATTGTAGATGTATTTTTTCTTTCGTCAATAGTAATCGTTTGTTAAAGAAAAAGGGCAAACGAGCATGCAGCTCACCTGAATGCGTGTCGAAAGTTTTATACACGACTAGAAATTGCAATCCCAGAAGGTTTTTTGAATACACAGATTTCGGGATCGTGTCGGAGCGATTCCGGGATCCCGGTATTGATCCCGGGATCATAAAAAAATTGGAAATTGTTTAAAATAACAAATAATAAGTAAAATTAATTAAACAAAATAACAATAAATAAAAAAATAAATGAATAAATAAAAAAGGAGAAAATAAAAACAAAAAATTATAAATTGTAACAAAACGAACAAAACCAAAACGAACAAATGGTTTTGTAGTAATATAATGACATAAATTAAAATAAAAAACACGATTAAACACATTCATTACACAGGTACTTTTATTTCAAAACACAACAGTTATATTACAAATATGTACACCAACTTATTTTTATTTGTTTGTACGCAAAAAGTGAGCACGCAAAAAACACAATTTGTCGATGCTGTCGTCACCAAGACGACTTCGCAGTTTAGTGCAAAAATTGTTTGCTGTCGAAAAAGCTCTCTCAGATTCGACACTGGTTAGCGGTATTGTTTTCAGTAAATAATACACTTTTTTCAAGGTTTGGTCCCCGAACCTTGTGGTCCTTGAAGAAAGACACTTCTTGCAGGATAGTTTGTTCCAGGCTGGTAACTTTGTCGTCATGTTGGGTCGGTTGAGTTTGTTCTGGATCGCACGATTCAGCTTCTCTTTTAACGACGGTTCGTCTAACTCCTGAAATCAAACAATTTTTTGAAATTATTATTTATATTATTTCACCATAATTTGGAATACAAGAGCTTAGTTTTTATCTCTTACCATGCAGGTTGAATCTTCGGAAGCACTTTCAGCGCTTGAACCACCGGTTTCCTCTTCGGAAATTGCTTCTGGATTTGGATACAGCCTTTTGATCAACCTCGTGATGATTCTCGCAATGGCGGGTTTGGTGAGTTTTCTGCACAGATCATTGTTTTTTTGCTCACCGTCGTGCAAAAACTGCAGCACTTGAGATATATCAGTGCGTCGTTCCAGGATCCGTACGATGATCGCCACTCTCAACTTCTCACTGATCTCCGTCTGCTGTCCTTGTAAGTCGGTAATCATGAAGTCCAGCACTGTATCTGCTAAAAGCAGATTTGCGTCTCTTCGACACAGGTTTTACACAGCTACTTTTATCGGTGCAAGTGCTTCCATGGTTGCCGTCAGTAATTTAAACTCTCCCTCGGTGAAAAATATCTCCGATTTCAAGTCGATGAGGGCTTTCTGTACACAATGTCTCAACTTCAAAACCTTTCCAGCATCGTCACTAAACTTTTCCATCTGGTTTTGACGTCAGGAAGAAGAACAAGATCTTTCCCCGGAAACTCAGCGTTTACGTACTTTTGAAGATGGACTTCGTTCTTCTTTGCAAACCTTTTAAAACGGCGAACTACTGTTCGTACTTTTTTTATTGTTTTCGCGAGTTCACTGCAACTTAAATTGGTTTCCTCGTCTTCTTTCTCGTCGATCACTACACCACCGTCTTCGTTCTCGTCCTCACTCTCGTAATCACTCTCGTTCTCGCTGTTGTCCGCACTGTTGTCCTCGCTGTTGTCCTCATTGTTGTCCTCATTGTTGTCCTCACTGACGTTCCTTTCTTCCTTTTTTGGTTGTTTGGACTTCTTCTTGTACATTACATCAAGAACCGCCAAGTGGATTGCGTGTGTGAAACAAAGTTGTTGTTCAGCGCTAATCAATTTTCCCAGCTTTTTCATCACACTAGCTCCATCACTTGTCACATCAATGATGTCTGCATCAAGGTCTATCTTAAACTGAGCCAATTTTTTTCGAAGAAGTTCGACACACTTTTTAGCAGTAACGCTTCCGGTTGCTCGTATCAGGCCCAAGTTATACACCTCCAATCCAGCATGTATATTGACATTCATATATTTTTTTTATAAAAATAAAGAATATTAACAATGCTATAAACATTACTAATATTCCCCTTAACCACTCGTAGTAAGCTTAAATTGCTTGTGTTACGAGTGGTTCACGCCAGTAGTCGAATGGTGGATTCGAACCCGCGACCTTTTGAGTTCGCGGTCCGCGCCCTGCCATTAGGCTACTGTCGCTTTCATTTTTATAAAAAAAAAATAAAAAAAAAATAAAAAAAAATATATCTTCTGTTGCGGTTCGAAGTCACACTAAAGACACTAAAGCGACACTAAAGCGTTCACCTTCAGCTTTTCTTTTGTTGAGCTCTGCGATCAATTCCTCACAAACCTTCCGTTCATATTGGAAAACCATTGATCTGACGGTGTTCGGAGAAGATGGGATCTTCTCGAATTTTCTCGCAGCAAGTCTTTCTTGATTTCTTGGGAAGATGCAAGAACGTTGAATGATAATCCATCCTTTGCAGCCATCCGAGTGAGAACTTCACACAACACTTCTGATTTGTTGTTAACAACAAAGGAAGATGCCCACTGTTCATAGACACTTCGGCCATTGGTGCCCACATATAAAAGCATATGGAAACGATAATATTCAATTAAAATAATGAAATGGCTAAGGAATTGGTTTAAAAAAAGTCGGGATTTTTATGATATAAAAGTTTTTATTTTCACAAATACAGTTTTTTAACGACTACTTTTACCAATTTTATCGCTTTTAACTTCTTTAACTTTTGTTTCCCGACATTTCAGGTGCTTTATAGCACCCATGGTCACGGAGGACTGAGGTGACTGCCATTCCAATGTCAGTATTGGGACACCTACCTTCCACGATACCACGATACCTTCAGCTTTTTATTATTATTTTAATAGTCCAATCTATGCAGATTGAACTTACTCTATCTTTAAGTCTTGCAGTGGTATGCCTGGGTTTGGTTTTAATTTTATTAATTATAGTGTCCCAAGTAGGTGGTAGTATCCAACCGCCTTCTCTATTGAAATTAGGATGTTTTTAATTTCAATAGCCTCACATATCATCCTTGGTAGGAATTAAGGCTCTTTCGCGAGGATTTGTGATCTATCAAATCTGATGTTTGTCTATCTGGTTGGGATGACAACCTTGACATACGGTAGTACAGCTAGCACACGCTCAACTGCGGTCGGCTTGCGCTCAACTCCGCGGCCAGGTGCTTGCTCTCATAGATCCCATATGCTCTCTGTAACAAACATTTGCTCACGGTAACTAACTGTGAAGGATGATGGTGAGATTCACCGCTTAAATATAAGTTTGTATGGGTCTTTTTTCTATACACAGTGTGACATATGATGTTGTTAGGATTTTGGAGAACAAAAACATCTAGGAAAGCTAAGAAATTATTTGCCTCTAATATAATATCGTAATTACTGAATGGAATTTGGCACAGAGAGTGTTAACGATGGAAAAAATTCATAGTAACAACATCCTGATTTAATATTTCACGGGCCATATTCATGAGCCGCTCTTATTTGTTTCTTGGCACTTGCAATAATGCCGATATGCATTCATCACTATCTCATGTTCCTATTTTCATCAAATATACAGCAAGTGCAAAACATCCACTATGTTTACTTGACATTTTGGGAACTTTAGACAGAATTTATTGTTATTGTGCTTTTGATAAGCCTAGATAATAATGTACACTATATTCAGGCATACTGTGAATACTTTCAAAGTCTATAATATGATGGTAAATATTATCTTACAATAATGTAGAAAAATCTATAATTTGTGCTACACTAAATGTTTTAATATGATTATATAGTGATTCTAAAAGTAAATACCAAGAGTTACTATTTAAATGGTAGTTACTGATTCTACATTCTGGAGGTACATAGTAATTGTATTCACAAAAAGACATACCCGCAATATTGATGGAACTGTGAGTTGATTGGAATAGTTACAACCAGGAAAAAACATTGATTTTGTGTGAGTGGTGGTCTTACAAAATTAGGCAGCAGTATATTGTACGATGTATGATCTAAGCTTTGTTGTTCTAGGTTCAATATATTACTCACTTTAGATTGCAACGAGGACGGACTAGATGATTCAGATGGTTCCCGTTCTAAAGTTTAATGTGATGCTGCTTTATCAGTCCCTTGCCAGCAATCATGACACTCACGCGATGACGGTGGCAACTGAAATAATATTAAATAAAAAAAAATAAGACAAAGTGAACAAAATAAAATAGATTTGTTTACTTTAAACTCAAATATAGGTAAATGTTACTTAAAACTTAATGCCCTATATTTTTAATAATTAAGGACTGACTGCCTACCAGTAGTACAAAAACAATTAAAAATCGACTTTCTCATTTCTTTGTATTTGATAAAAATTGTCCATTTTGTAACTATCTGGTGTTAGCTAGCTAATCTTATCGCCATGTTATAAATAAGCTATTATGTTTGTCAGATATAGCTTGTGCATATGTTAAAAAAAATAAAACAACTTCATCATTTCATTCATTCATCACTATCAAATATCAGCACTAGAATTATTAAATTAAAACTGTTAAAACACTTACTTTTAACTGTTTTCACACTATAATGTGATCGACAATCTCACTTCATATGAGTTCTTGAGAATTTATTTGAAAAATAACAAATAAAATAACACAATTGCGACTATTTAGTTATGAATTCTCTAGTATCTTTTTTATTTGTTGAATTGTGATTTCATTTTTATTCCCAATTCGCATGACATATTTCCTAGCTGTCAGATTTGATGTTGCCACATAACTAACATAAATACACAGATTAATCTGTGCATAAATACAATGAACCGATATCGATTTTTATTCGATTAGTAATTTAATAAAAAAAGTAATATATGAGGCGCTTTAAGTTCTACACGCTTTTTAAAATATATTTTCTTTTATTTATTTAAATTCTTTTTTTCAATGTATTTTTAAGAACAGTTAAAATATGGAGTAGCGTATTATCATGCTCTAAACAGTTCATGGTGAATCAGCTAAAAATTCACTTGTTTAATTATCATAACATGATTCCATTTTAAATGTATTGTTAAAACAGATAACAATTACTGTTAAATTATGCAGCAGCATTTTGTTATACTCTAAATAATTCATAGTAAATCAGCTAGTAATTAGCTTTTTTAATTATTATAACATCATAATATCGATTCGATTATTATTCGATTAATAATTCCATAAAAAAGAGAATAATCTTGGAGGTGCTTCTGCTCGCTTTTTAAAATGTATTTTCCTTTATTTATTTAAATTCTATTTTAAGTGTATTTTTAAACAATAACAATAAAATAGTAGTAAACCACAGCACCACTCTCCATCCTAATGACGACACTGTCGCGACTGGACGACAACGGCGTAGCTGACCTTCCTTTTTGAAACATTCTTAGAATGTTGTGTATCGATTTCAAAATCGATCTAACCGAAATATACAGACATCGATTCATAATATTTTATGTGTCGGGGAAGGCGTAGGCCAAGTGACGCACAGAAGAAAAGTCTTACATTCTTATGACAATGGGGATTTGATATGATGCTGATGCTGCTAGATGATTTTGAGACTGAGAAAGAAAATGGCACAACACAAAATGAAAAATTGCTCTTCACACCCTAAGTAAAAAAAAACATTAATTGTAATTTTGTATTATTATTAAAAAAGGTACATAATTATTCATTAATCAACAATTGTATATAATTATTCGCACTAGGTAAATCAGCCTTATAATACTAAAATCTTGGTCATGGAATAAATAAACATATTTGTTCACCAATCAATCAAAAATTCAATTCATCAATCAAAAATCAAAATTCATCATCATCGACGCTTTCCAAAATCCGAATGAGTTTTGAGGAATCGTTCATGTTGCATTGCTCTACTTTTCTCGGTAATCACTTATGACGTCATCAGGGTGTCGTCTATCCTTGATCACGGTGCCCAGTGAACTGATTTTCGATGACGCGCTAAAGATGCGCTAGAGTTGAGATATTAGATTTATTATGCGAAGATAATCTGATAACATTTTTTTATTCATGTAGCTAATTATAGTTTTATGTTTCTAACCTTTAATTTTATTCAAATATCAATAATAATAGAAAAAAAAAACACCATTGAGCTGAATTTTGGATAGTTTTCAAGAAATCTATGCCTCCCGCGTTTGACACTAGCGGTCAACCATAGACGACTTTGGCGTGCTGGACATAGTATTTGCTTAGATAAAAATCCATTTTTATTAGTTCAATGTTTCTTAGTACTTGTGGCTCTAGAAGACTTGTTTTTTATACTCACATGTTGCTGGGTTATTCCTATTTTGAGGAGTGTAGAATTAAAATACCTGTAATAATTTTCTAATATCTATATTTCATATTTTTCGGAGCCGGGTTTTTTGTCAACTATAGACGTCGTTGGCGCTCAGGGCCCGCAGGTGTTGGTCAAGTATAGGCGACTTTGGCGCTCAAAAGGTTAAAGGATTCATGGTAAATCAGCTGGAAACTAACTTGTTTCGTTATCATAACATGATTCTATTTTAAATGTATTGTTATAAACAGATAAGAATAACTTAACCGATCTTCTTTAAAAACAGATAAGAATAACAGTTCTTATCTGTTTTCAAAGAAGATCGGTTAAGATTAACAGTTAAATTGTGCCGTAGCATTTGTTATTCTCTAAAGAATTCATTGGAAATCAGCTAGTAATTCGCTTGTTTAATTATCGTAACATCATAATTATTTAAAAATTATATTAGCACTGTAATGATGACACCGTAAATAATCGATCGAAAAAGAGAATCGATTTTTTAAATGTGT